CTCTCCTCCCTCCTCTCTCTTCTTCTCTCTCTCTCTCTCTCTATCTATCTTATTTCCTCATCCTCTGCCCTCTTCGCGCTCGCTCACAGGCGAGTAACGGAAGTTTAACTACACTCGACGGTTCCGCGCACTTTGGGCCGCAAACTACGGATTTGTTTTATTGGATTGCCCTGATTTACGGAGCGCTAGCTTTATGGAGATAAAACTTAGAAGCTTTCGCGTGGCTCGGCCTCTTCCGCCTGTGAGTCTCTGCTTCCATCTGCTTCTGCTCGCGCTTAAATGGGGGTAAGTATTATCTGGACGTTTATGACGATCGCTATTTATAAACTTCTGGGAAGAGCGATGGTCGAAGGGATCACCGCGTGGCAAGGGGATGTTCAAGGTGGTTTTCCTGCTCGTAATTGTGCGATAGTGGTGAAATTAATAGCGTTGAAGATTAATAGGTTGATTAGGAGAAGATGGAAAGTTTATTCGCTTCCTTTCGTTCTGAGGAAATCGTGCAATTTTTTTTTTTCAAATTTGATCAAATTGTCCGGTTTAATTAAGCGTTGGAAGAATGTACGTTGGATTTACGTTAAAGTGCTTTGATTTCTTTGATGACGGGAAAATTTATCTAAGTTCAACTTTTCAATTTTCCATCGATAAGACTTTGAACACGAACAAATAACAAATAGGATAAACAGGTATTCGTCTAGTGAATAACTTTCCTTGAGAAAAGAAAGGACTACTTGACTTGAAAAAAGTTGAAGGGGAAGAATGAAATTATTTACGAGATATCTTAATAACGGTAAACAAGAAAATTTCTAAGCTGTTCTTTTGTCACGTTCAAACGAAACAAAAAATGTTAAACAAAACAGGATACGTTATAGGGAAAAAGATATACTCAAAGTGTTATCGAAAATAACATTTTTCCCCGTTCGATTTTCGGTTTGCAGTGCAAAGAAACTAGATTTCACGGCCACAAAGTGCTCTGTGTTCCTTTATTGACTCGACGTGCCTCGTGCCGGCAAGTTACGTCAGAAAAAAACTCAAGCTAGACGCAGAGAGAGGGAGGGAGAGAGAGGAGGGGGGGAGGGGAGGAAGACGAAGAGAGAAAGAGAGAGATAGCTCAAAGGAGTGTTTTGTGTGAAATCATCCTCATCGGTGTCCTTTGTCATTTTACATTTTTGCCCACTTTCATACGGCGACTGCCTCGCAGTGGAAAAAGAGAATTCCAGTTTATATTTAGATCTTCTACAACTTTTTATCTTTTACCGCAACACTTATTACACGGACGAGTCATTATTTTAACGTTCCCTTGACACTGAAACTACCAAGTACCACAAATTTAGAAATCCCTTTTACCAACGACAAAGAAAGTTTCTCACGTATGGAGAAATTCATCGAATTACGTTTAACCAACTTCTTCTTTCTCATCTTCTTTAAATATCTGGAATTTTTCAACTCGACTCGACTTTAATTTTTTCATCTCTTAATAAAATTCAAAGTGACTCGAGAAACGAAACAAGCTCTCGAAAAATTCAATTTCAAATATCTAATTCGAGAATCGTATCGCTCGAACTGTTCGATTCGAAATAATAAGAACATATTTTCCTTTCGTGATGAAATTTTACCTCGATTCACAGATTTGGATTACGACAAGCCCATTCTCTGCCCGGAATGATCAAATTGTCCCGCGCCAACCCTTTCACGACAAAGCGGTGGGCGATGGGTGGAGAAGGGGAGGAGGGACGGTTTGCATTTACAGAGGCACTTGACGTAAATCAACATGCCTCGCATTAACTGTCCACGTTGATTACGAAAGGATCCAATCTGCGAGGGGAGATGCGTCACCGTTTGCAAATGGAAGCAGTCAGGCCTGCCTCGTTAACCAGCAATTAGTACATGCACGGGTGTTCTTTTTTAATTCGCGAGTTCGCGCATCCCCCTCCCCCCCCTCCCTCCCTCCTCTTTCCTCCCTTCCCCCTTCAGTTGGCCTTTCTCAATGGAGGAGGATCTCGAGTATCCTTCTCAACTACGGAAATTTAATTGAAGATTTTCGACTACCGTCTCTTGGATTTCCGAATTATCGAAAGGTTTTATACGGATCCACGAGAAGTTTCACGTGTTGCCGAAAATCCATCCCTCTTTGGAGGAAATTCGAGGGGCATTCAATAGGAACCGTCGTTCGAAACTGGGCCAATGATTCTTAAAGATCTTCTAAAGATCCCACTCGTTCCACTCGACTGTTATTCTCATCTATTATTAGATAGAGACGTATCACCGCGGGATTGTACAGACAGGGTGTACGCGACACGGTTTGAATCGCGAACCACCACCACCCCCTGACCCGTCCATTCTCCGTGAAGAAGCTCCACAAGGCTGGGTGCCGCGATACACCTCGATCAACCGAAAAGGAAGAGAAAGCTCGATTGCTTTCGCGAGTAAAAAAAAAAAAAAAAAAAAGGAAAGGAAAGGAAAGGAACCGTACCCCCTATGAAGAAGAAGAGAAATCGTCGGGGCTCTGCGCCCTCTTCCTGTGCCCCCGCATCCTGTCCCACCTCCTCCTCTTCCCGCGTTCTTCTCGCTCACACAGGGCCTTTCCCTCCCTCCCCGTCGCTCTTCGTCGCCGCACTATGTCACACTGTCCACCCCCGTGCACATTTGTCGCGCGATCTCGCGAATCACCGCGCCTCGATCGAACCCGCTCTTTCTCCGAACCGCACAGCTCTGGCCAGGATAAGAATAATCGGAAGGAAGAAGAGGGAGGAATAACGGGCCAGCACAACTTTCAGTCCACTGGTCGTGGCTGCCGCCTCATGGTCGTCGTTCCCTTCGATGTATCTCTCCTCTCCACTCCCCCAATATTTTCCCTTGACGATTCCTCTCCCCTCGCGGGACGATCCCCGACGACGATGATCGATTGTCAAGTCGGTCTTCTCCTCGATCAGTGTCGAGCTCCCATCGGCGAGGTTCACACGACAACGACGGTGGAATACCGCGGGAAATTTTCGTCCTGGCCGCGGCGCCGACGGATGCCGGGCTACTGCAGTCGGCCGAGCTTTTGGGCGAGCTTATTTTCGAGCGACGACAGCGCCACAGTGGCATCTGGTGGCATCGACCGCCGCTGCCGCCGCCGTCGACGCCGCCAACCGACCACGCTCAAAGCCGACACCAGGGCGTCCCCTGCCTATGCCTCGTCTCATCTTCTACGCCTTCCTGCTTCTTGTTTTCACGACCTTGCGCTTCCATTGTCATCATCCGCCGCTCTTTTTTTTTCTTTCCCTCCCTTGTTTGTTTCTTCCACTCCCTCTCTCTGTCCCTCTTCGTCTGTGTATCGCTGTTAACGCGTGCGAGCAATGTCGTTTGGATAATGCCAGAGATATCTCGCGTTTTTTTTATTTTTTATTTTGGCCGCGAATTTTCATTGCTTGGTAGAAATCAGTGTAGCTAGCTACGTGTGCAAAGAGATGTATAGTTATTATTTCATAGAAACAAATTTTTGTTACCCAATTTATCTTTTAAATTTGTGTTTTCATTGTTTCTGAAAATGAATCTAATCTTTGTGAAAATTCCATTAGCAAGTGTTCTTTTTTTTTTCTTTAAATTATTTTATACACTTGAGAGATTAAGAATTTAAGGGTGCAAAAAAACATTTGTGAATTCGTTTATACTTCTTCTGGGATGAATTTTTCTTTTTTCGAATATGCTTGAATAAACGAAATTTGGAATGATTGAACTTAATGTTGTGTTAAAATTTAACTTCCTTTTAAATCGACTTGTAAAATTTAAACAGATAAGAATTACAAATGGACACGATCCAATTATCGAAGCTTTAATTCGTTCGGCAAAATTTTCCATACGTAAGGATCGATGGAAGGACAATATTGGACGAGAGAGAGTCATAATAAGATCGTGATTGAAGTTAAAGAGACGTTATTTCTCGTAATTCACGACCGGAAATGGTGGAATTGGTTTACCAAGTTTCGTGAAAACAACCAGCATGATTTAACGCCAACCCATCGAGGTTTTTCTCGTGACCATTCCAAATGATTCATTCCTTAGACATTGCTATCTATTCTTTTAACAAACGCCCCCGTTTTTTTTTTTTGTCTAGAAAGGTCGACAAAATTTGTGGAATTTCGGTTGTTTCTTTTTTTATCGGTTTGATAAAATACCAGGCTGGTTTGCATATAGACGACCAAGTTCATTGGAAATTAGCCAAGATATTTTAATAGATGTCTGATGTTTAAGGTCGTGTTACAACGTGCTTATCGATAACCGGCCATTGATGCTTGCTAATTTACATAACACCACTGCAGGGATTAGATTGAACCGTGGATACGAAATTATGCGATTGGGCAGAGCCGAGAATATGCTATTAAACTCGAAATCAAATGAGCAAAGATAAGTATAAGTGAAAAATTATTGGAAAATTTATTGCTAAAAGAATTTCTTAAATGCGAGAAAAATTCATTAGATTATGCTGCGTCAGACATCACATTTCATGAGATTAGTACACGATGAAATTCTGCAACGAATCTCTCACATCTTTTTTGAACAAATTGGAAATTTGTTTCGTAACACAATGATATAAGATCTATTAGAATTAAAAATAATAGGATTGAAAAATTTAACCAAAGACGCTTCGTGAAAATCTGCAAGAGGCGTGGGATCTCTAGAAAAATATGATTTGATAATGAGACAAGTTTTTATCTTTTGGATTAAAATGAGTTGGAAGAAATTGGAAAATTGTCCAAGATCGCACATGCAACCCTCCAGGGTTTCCCTAATGACCTAATGCTGATGCAGCCCTGGAGCCGCGGGCAGAAACCAATAAGAAAGAAACCGGTCTAGGAGGGAGTTTGGAACAGTTGTAAATCGTATAACGAGGTTAGCCCTGGTGCAGCTATGCTCCAGACGAGGCTGAGAAATTAGTTTGTCCGGCACTGTAAATCGATCTTTTCTCTCAGGAATAGCGTTTCACTTATGGACCATCTATATAGGAATCTTCGTATTAATTTGATTGTCCGTCGATAACAGGATGAAACCACTTCGAAAACACTAATTGAAAAGTGGACCGAAATTAAATGTTAAATTATGGAAAGAATATTCTTCGTTTATTCACTATCCAGTAAAAGTTCGTTCCTTCATTGCTTTTAACATTGTGATTGAAATGAATTTATCAGTAATTAACTTTTCGTGTGGAATGTGTTGCATAAAAATAAATATTATAAGATTTTTCATTCTTTTACTTTTTCTAAACGATTAATTCGTATAACGAGATTACTTTTGAGAGAAATAAATTATAAAGATAGTGTCAAATATAATAAAACAATCGCAATTAGACGAACAATTTATTATTGTTTTATTTTGAGTTTTGTAAACTGATTAAGGGCAGTAAATGATACGAGCAATATTTCTCCTGAGAGATAATTGCGAAATCTCGGTTTTGAAATCAGTGAAATGCATGGGGATTTATAATAACCGTTTTATAATTTTATAATTGTTATTATTTTATATAATATAATAAATTATACATTCCGCATCCGCACAATAATAACGGATATAATTAGCAATGGTAGACAACAATATTCGTTATAATTTGTCTTTAAAATCTTCGGAAAATAAATTAATTATATTACAATTAAAATCAAATATATTTCTATCAATTCGTCTCTTTCATCGTATCATAATCAAAAACACGAATACTTCGTACCTTCATCAATATACTTTAACTATGATAATATAACTTATCTTTTCTGTTCTTTTAAAAATACGAAAATAATAAACGAATATTTTACTTGCCATAATATCTGAAATCATTGTTAGAACTATCGACATTGCACACAGATCAAAATCTTCGTTATTTAATATTTATTCCCGGTCTAAAAGTAACCACGATAAATCACCAACTCTAACATTTCACTGATACCAAAACTGCCGGAGAAACAAAATGTTACTCGTATCATTCACCGCTTTTAATCACTTTACAAAAGCCAACAAAGTAAACCCATTCTGAGCAGCGAAACGTGGTTGTATCACGATATCACGGCTACGAATTTCTGAGAATTGCCGATTTTCCCCGTGTTTCAAACTCGAGAATTATTCCATGCGGTGTTAAAACGTGGCCTGATCACCGTAACACGCGAATCGTATCGTACCAGTTTCAATGTGACGATGAAACAATTATCCAATGTCATTCACCCTTGATTGAACATGGGTGACATTATCTTATAGTCCCTCTAATACCATTTCGTAAATCTTTAAAACTTATTTCGACTAATTATAATTTCATCCTCCCTCATTGTATTTCCCTTCTGCCAATCATAATCTCATTTTCGATATTCAATCTCGTTAGTGCCAATTTGGAACAGTTAAAAGTGTTATTAGTATAACACACAGAAAATTTCACATCGTGTGCGACATAAATCATTGAGGTATCAATGTATGTACGAATGAATTCAATTTCACCGAATAATCGTCGAATAAACGATTTGAGCTTGGAAACATCACGATCCTCGCATTAGAACACAAGTTTCTTTCGTGCTTCTCGACCGATAATTTTTCGTTCGAAAGAGGAGGCTTTCTTTCTACTCGTCGTTCGTTAGCACTCGAATATCAAGTGACTAAGTGTTTAGTCTCTAACAACAGGTCGGGTAGATCGATGAAAACAAGCGGACAGGACGTTGCACTTTGGGAACAATGTCGTAACGAACCTTCTCCCGATGATCCGCTTCACCTCTTCGTATTGAAAGTGAAGTACACCCTCGAACTCTGCACTCGAAACTAGCTACGTTTGTTTCTTTACTGAGGCAGGCCGCATGGATAGAATACTTCTAACCACTTGATCATTCCGTATATCGTAACAGCGATATTCGTTTCCTCTTTTTTCTTCTTCTTCTTCTTTCTTACGAAAGCGAGAATCAATTTTTCTGTATCTGTGGAATGTAAGTCGTGAACTGACATTAAAGATGATTAATGTATATTGTAAAAATTGCATGGGATGATCTGTCTATGTATAAATTACACCATTGATTTATTTAATCATAAATTATATCACGAAATTAATAATATGTTTGTTTCGTTATGCATTATTTTAATATAAAGATTGTAAAAAAAGAGTCAGATTACCGAAGATAATTAATATAAGATAAAAATTGGATAATTGGACGAATGATCCAAGGTGTGAGGGTACTTTCTTTAATATATAAAATGGATGATATTTTAATATAATGAAACGAAGAGAGAGTCAAATTATTGATTATTGAAGATGATCAATGTATAGTAAAAATTGATACGAACATAAAAAGAATATAGAATAACTTTTTATTATAAAAATTAGTTTTAGAGAAAATTATATTTCATGATTTGATATAAAAAAACTGATTTAAAAAAAAAAAAAACGAGAATTTAAAACGACGATAAAACTTCATTTCACCTATCGATAGTTCGTATCTCCGAATCAGCTAATTTCACTTGTGTTTGAAAAATTTTCAAACTTGATTTACTCAACGATGAAATATTAAATTTTAAAATATTTTATTCTACATTTTCGATCCATATAAAATCCATCGTAATATCATCGACCTATAGATAAAATAAATATAGTTTTTCCAAATAGTTATTACTACTGCTATAAGAAAATATTTATACACTTTTTTCTTACTTTACCTCGTTCATTTTCTCTCTAAAAGAAAAATTCCATTAAATCGATTAACAAAGAACTAGTCCTCGTTGGATTAGTCGAAAAAAAAAAAAAGAAAAAAAAAGAACATCGAATAATATCCATTCCATTTCATCTCAACAAATAACTCCTCGGCGTTTTCGAATAAATTGGACTAATGAGACGTTTATCCTTCCTTTCAGTATTCAGATATAATATTTAGAGGGAGAATGCACGATCGTCGTGTTCTCTTTTGCTCGTTAAACTGTCATCAAGTTTCATTCGTTCAAGGAATCGAGGAACGTTTATATATATATATTTGTTTATATTTGCTTACGTTGTTTTCGAAGAATCTAATGGATTAACCGTAATAAGAAAGTAAGTCATTCCCTACCTTC